GGGAGCAGAGGGAGGGTGGGGAATGGGGGGCGCAGGTGGCGGGGGGGCCGGCAGAAGGAGCGCTGGGTGTGTGGGGCCCAGGGGGTCCGTGGCGTCCGGCTCTGGGCCGTGTGGGTCTGGGGGCGGTGGGGGTTGTGGGTGCCGGAGCCGGAGGCTGTGCGCTGCGGGGGTGGGCGGGGGGGGGATGGAAGGGGTTCGTTGTTGGGCCGAGCGCCCCCAGGGGGGGGGGGGTTGTGCGGTGCGTTATGGAGTGGGGAGGTGGTGCTGCGTGGGGTGCAGGGCTGGGGGTTGTGGGCAGAGCAGGAGGGCGCGGGGACCCACGGGGCTCCCATCCTACCCACAGGGCCGCCATCGTCCCCATGGTTCCCCATTCTCTCTGCAGGCTCCCGTCCTCCCCCGTAGTTCCCCCTCTGCCCCACAGAGCCCCCATCCATCCCTCGAGCATCGGGAGCTGCGCGCTCTGTAGGATCTGCTCCTCTCTCTCCCCAACCCCACACGAGGAATTCGATCAGCCAGCAGCAGGGGCTCCTCCTGTGCTTCATTCTGACCCCCCCCCCTCCCCCGGCAGCTATAGGATATGAACAGGATCCGGATCCACGTCCTGCCCTCCAACCGCGGCCGCCTCACCCCCATCCCACGGCCTCAGGAGCCTCAGTGCTGCTCCTTCAGCCAAAGGCAGTGCTCCCAGCCCCGCCTGGAGGGCCACGACTTCTGCCTCAAGCACATCCTCGAGGACCGCAGCGCTCCCTTCAAGCAGTGCAGCTACATCTCAGCCAAGAATGGGAAGCGCTGCCCCAACGCTGCCCCCAAACCAGAGAAGAAGGACGGGTGAGTGAAGGCTGCGCTGTTCAGTGGGTTTGGGGTTGGTTGGACGCAGCCAAAGGGTTGTGATGAGCGGTTCTGAGGCCGGTCACGAGCTGCGTCCCTCAGGGGGTCTTGGGGCTCTTCAGCATCTCCATCAGTGGCAGGGAATGGCATCGAGCGCGGCCTCAGCAGGTGGCACCCAGCCGGGGTGCAGTCGGTGCATTGGGAGCCGTGCAGGGGGATGTGAGAAGTGGGGCCATGAAGACTGAAGGAGGTTCAGTAGGGCCAGGTGCAGGGTGCTGCAGTGCTGGGGGTTGCCACCAAGTGGGGCAAAACCTGGAGAGCAGCCCTGCAGAGAAGGACTCGAGGGTCGTGGGGACGAGAAGCTGCGCACGAGGCAGCAGCGTGCGGCCAGCTGCGTTGTGGGCTGCATGAAAAAGGGCTGGCAGCAGGGGGGCGATGGTCCCCCTCTGCTCTGCTCCTGCGAGGCCCCGTCTGCAGCGCTGCGTCCAGGCCTGGGGCCCAGCACAAGGAAGGTGCAGAGCTCTGGGAGCGGGTCCTGAGGCGCTGAGATGAGCGGAGGGCTGG